GGTTCCACTGGTTAATTGTCCTCACTGTCAGGAAGTTTCTCCTTAGTTCTAAGTTGCTTCTCTCCTTGATGAGTTTCCATCCGTTGCTTCTTGTCCTGCCTTCAGGCGCTTTGGAGAATAGCTTGACTCCCTCTTCTTTGGGGCAGCCCCTGAGATACTGGAAGACTGCTGTCATGTCCCCCCTCGTCCTTCTCTTCATTAAACCAGACGTACCCAATAACAGCAAACGTTTTTCGTTTTTCTGTCCCCGGTTTTTTCCCCCCAATTTCATCTGTCAGGACCGTGACAAGGAGGCTTCTCCAGGTTGGTTGAATATTTTTCCCTTTTTTCTCTTAACTCTCCAGATCAAGAAAGAAGCTGCCTACACTTGGCGGATCGAACTGGCCAAAACGGAGAGATACTGGGACGGCTGGTTCAGGGGCCTCTCCAACCTATTCCTCAATTGCCCTGTTCCCAAACTGCTGCTTTTAGCAGGTAGGTAGGTAGGTAGGTGGGGCTGCCCTCCCCCCCCTCCTCTTTTCTTTCCTTCCTCCTTCCAGAAATCCATCCCATCACTCTGCAGGCTGGTTGGGAGAGGCTCAAGACGGTTGCCTGCCCTGCTGATTGTTTATTGGTGCAGTTATTTAAATCCCACCTTTTATTATTTTGACACAAACGATGCAAAGGGGCGAACAGGGTCCAAGGCACCTTCCTAGCACGGATTTTTCGTTGTGTTTTGCTAGATGGGCTTGTCCGTGAGTATGTATAGGTTAGAAAGAGAGAGAGAGAGAAAAGAGGAAAGGATAGATAGATAGATAGATAGATAGATAGATAGATAGATAGATAGATAGATAGATAGATAGATAGATAGATAGATAGATAGGAAAGAAGGAAGGAAGGAAGGAAGGAAGGAAAAGAAAAAGAAACAAAGAAAAAAAGAAAGAAGGAAAGAAAGAGAAAGGGAAGGAAGGAAGGAAGGAAGGAAGGAGATGGACTAATGCAGGGGTCTTCAAGCTTGGCCCTTTTATGACTTGTGGACTTCAGCTCCCACGCTGGCTGAGGAATTCTGGGAGTTAAAGTCCACAAGTCATCAAAGGGCCAAGTTGAAAGACCCCCTGGACTTCAACTCCCAGAATTCCTTAGCCAGCATGCCTGGCTGAGGAATTCTGGGAGTTGAAGTCCACAAGTCATCAAAGGGCCAAGTTTGAAAACTCCTGAACTTCAACTTCCAGAATTCCTCAGCTAGGCATGCTGGCTGAGGAATTCTGGGAGTTGAAGTCCACAAGTCATCAAAGGGCCAAGTTTAATGACCCCTGGACTTCAACTCTCAGAATTCCTCAGCTAGGCACGCTGGCTGAGGAATTCTGGGAGTTGAAGTCCACAAGTCATCAAAGGGCCAAGTTTAATGACCCCTGGACTTCAACTCTCAGAATTCCTCAGCTAGGCACGCTGGCTGAGGAATTCTGGAAGTTCACAAGTCATCAAAGGGCCAAGTTTGAAAAACCCCTGGACTTCAACTCCCAGAATTCCTCAGCCAGGCACACTGGCTGTGGAATTCTGGGACTTGAAGTCCACAAGTCATAAAAGAGCCAAGTTTGAAGACCCCTGCATTTATGGATATTGAGTGGAGAAAGATGGATGATACGGATCAATGGATGGATGGAGAGAGAGAGAGAGAGAGAGAGAGAGAGAGAGAGAGATAGGAGATATAGATAGACAGATTCAGATAGAGAATTCAGAAATGTAAAGAATAAATTCAAAATTTGGCAAGACCCTCGGATTAACATATGGGTGCCTTCCCCTCTTTCCTTCCCCATCCATTTCTAGGTGTTGACAGACTGGATAAAGATCTGACTATTGGCCAAATGCAAGGTAAAGATTCTCAGCTTTCCGTTCCAGGATCGGTTTTAACAAGGCTTCATTTCAAAGAACTCAATTTTTTCCCCGCTGACCAGACGCCTCCGATGCCGAGCTTTTTTAAAACATTCTTTCATTCATTCGATAAACATAAAAGGCTATTTTCTGATGAATTCTCTGGATTCACAAAGGATAAAAGATGCCTCTTAAAGCCCTGATTTTCCCAAATGGGTGTGCTTTAATCACTATAACGTGGGTAAACATTGAAAGAGACCCGTGGAAGTGTGTAGTAGCCCCAAATCAGGAGTCTGATAGCCTTTTTCCAACTAATCACGGTTATTAAAAGGCATCAGCTTTGGATAAAGTTGGTTAGTCAGAAAAGGGGCTTCTGGATTCTTGATTTTTGTCATCAATGCAGTTTCTTGCTGCATTATCAACCGATAACAGTCGTCTTCTGGGTATTTGTTATACGTGGCGTTTGAACTTTGGTGCTTGGTATTTGCGTATCTGTTTTAGACCACACCGATAATTTAATCATTTTAATCATTTTAATTTAATAATTTTAAAAAGAAAACCCAGCCCTTTTATAGCCATGTTGGCAGCCAAAGGGATCCTCCCTAATCCTCTGGGTGGCCCAAAGAGACAGCTCTCCACGTTCGTTACGCAAAGGCCCGTCTTCTCCTTAACTTGGCCATTTTGAATTTTTCTTGCCCTTTGTGTGGACTTCATCCCTGCCAATTTTGTTTTTTAACCAAGGATTTGTGAATTCACCCAGATTTAGCGGCATCCCACCATCCTGTGTCTCATGTTGTTTTTTTAAAAAAAAATAACTTTATTTCTGCTTTTGAGTCATTCGTTAATTGTAGGCCAGTCCCTGCAGTCAAGTCAGTTTTTTATTTATTTTGTTTTGTATTTTATTTTATTATTTTATATTATATTTTATTATTTCATTTTTATGTATTTTATTATTATTTTATTTAATTTTATACTTTAACTTTCACTTTATTTTGTTTTTTTATTTTTCTTCTATATTTTATTTTTTATTTTATTGCAGTATTTTTATTTTCATTTATACTTTCATTTTCTTCTCATTTTCTTTTAGTTTCTTTTTTACTTTCTTTTATTTTTAGTTTCCTACAATTTATTTTATTTTTTATTTTTGTTTATTAGCGTTTTTATTTTCATTTATATTTTCATTTATATTTTTCTTATTTTCTTTCAGTTTTTTTCTTTTTCTTTTTTCTTTTTTTCTTATTTTTAGTTTCTTCTATATTTTATTTTTTATTTTCGTTTATTACAGTATTTTTATTTTCATTTATATTTTCTTGTTTTCTGTTTCTTTTTTATTTTCTTTTTCTTTTTTCTTTTCTTTTCTTATTTTTAGTTTTTTCTATATTTTATTTTATTTTTTATTTTTGTTTATTACAGTATTTTTTTTATTTTTTATTTTTATTTTCATTTATATTTTCTTTGTTTCATTATTTTATTTTTATTTTATTATTTTTTAGTTTCTTCTATTTTTTATTTTATTTTTTATTTTATTACAGTACTTTTATTTTCTTTTATAGTTTCTTTTTTCCTTTCCTTTTTTCTTTTTTCTTTTATTGTTTTTTAGTTTCTTTTATATTATATAATTCATTTTATTTTAATTTAATTTTAGACCAACCATCTTCCCTCCAAGGTGACTCCTATCTTATTTTCTCAATTGGGGAGAGTTACTGGGCTGAACGGGTGAAGCTGGCCCCAAATTACCTAGCTAGGCTCTGTGCCCAAGGCAGAACTCGAACTCACAATTTCCCGGTTTCTTGCCCGATGCCTTAACCTCTGGTGCAACCTGGCTCTCTTCTCTCTTACATGCAGGGAAATTCCAGATCCAGGTCCTCCCACAGTGTGGCCACGCAGTCCATGAGGATGCTCCGGACAAAGTGAGTAGCGTGGTCATTTGCCTTCAGCGGGGACAATTAACCAGTGGAACAGCTTGCCACCAGAAATTGTGGGTGCTCCAACACTGGAGGTCTTTTAAGAAGAGACTGAACAGCCATTTGTCTGAGATGGTATAGGATCTCCTGCTTGAGCAGGGGGCTGGACTAGATGACCTCCAAGGTCCCTTCCAGCTCTATGTTGATTCTGATTCTAGGTTACCATGTCAGGCTTGTTCAAGGGGCAGCCTAAGCTAGTTTCCCTCAGCCCCCAGAATTCCCTAACCAGGAGGGCTGTTGTTTTGGTCACCACGATGTAAAAAAGACGTTGAGACTCTGGAAAGAGGGCAGAGAAGAGCAACAAAGATGATTAGGGGACTGGAGGCTAAAACATAGAAGGAACGGTTTCTGGAATTGGGTATGTCTAGTTTAATTTTATTTATATATATATATATTGAATTTATATACCGCCCTATCTCCCTTACGGGACTCAGGGCGGTGAACAGGCGATAATAAAAACCACAATAAATATACACAAATTTCTGTCTAAAATCAAATTAAATAACAAATTAAATAAACTTCACAAATAATGAAGAGAAGGACGAGGGGGGACAGGATAGCAGCCTTCCAGTATCTCAGGGGCTGCCCCAAAGAAGAGGGAGTCAAGCTATTCTCCAAGGCACCTGAAGGCAGGACAAGAAGCAACAGGTGGAAACTAACCAAGGAGAGAAAAAAAATAGGAATAAGGAGAAATTTCGCGGCATTGAGAATAATTAACCAGTGGAACAGCTGGCCTCCAGAAATTGTGGGCGCTTCATCACTGGAAGTTTTTAAGGAGAGACTAGACAGCCATTTATCTGGAATGGCATAGGGCTTCCTGCCTGAGCAGAGGATTGAACTAGATGACCTCCAAAGTCCCTTCCAACTCTGCCGTTCTCTTATTCCCTTAAATGTTCTCTGGAAACCACCCTCAGTCCTTCAGTTGGCAAAGCTGGACCAGGTTTGTGTGAATGGTCCCTTTGGGTGAGAGCAAGGAAGGTGCAGAATGCAGAGGCCCCATATTGTTGGGGAGGGTCTGTCCCAAAGAAAGGGGTAGACCCTCCTTCATCTCTGCCACCCCCCATCTCTTTCAGGTAGCGGAAGCCGTGGCGACGTTCCTGATCCGTCACAGGTTTGCAGAGCCCGTCGGTGGATTTCAATGGTAAGGCTGGCGGTTGGGGTCAATGTGGGGAAACCCCCAGATGTGTTGAGCTGTTAGTTTGGGGGGAGGAGGGAAATGTGGAAATCGCCACCCCCCCCAAAATAAGAGGGGAGCTTGGAGAAACGAGCTGGTGTGAAGAGCTGTACGTAGAGTCCTCGGCTTACATTTAGTAACCGTTCAAAGTTACACTTACGACCGTTCCAGCATTCCTCGCAATCACGTGATTTACATTCAGAGGCTTGACAACCGACTCACATTTATGACGGTCGCAGCGTCCCGGGCTCACGTGAGTCCCCTTTTGCGACCGTCCGACAAGTCAAGTCACTGGGGAAGCCAGATTCACAACTGCAGGGATTCACTTAACAAGCGCAGCGAGGACGGTTGCGAAACGGGGCAAAGCCTACGCAACAACGGTCTTACGCACAAAAACTCACTCGGCAACAGAACCCTTTTGAGTTCAGTCGTGCTCGTAAGCCGAAGACGATCTGCAATCCACGGTGGGCGTCTTCACACAAGACGGGAACCCTAAATCAAGGTGGAGCAGCTACTACGTCTCCTCTGTCAGGAGTCAAAATCTGGCAGCTACTTGCCTCCTCCTTTCAATCTTGCCATTAGAGTAAGGGGGTGGGGTGTTGTTGTTTTTGAATGGTTTAGTTAGAGCAAGACTTTTCAACCAGTGGTAGGGGTACCACCTGTGGTACATTGGCACCTGGCAGGGGGTACGCGAGCATCCTAGAAAAGTGGTAGCGGGGGAGGGGAATGAGCTGAACCGGTGGCAGCACCGCACAAGCCTGAGCGAGAGACGGCTGGAGCTGCAGGGCTGTCAGGGCTCAGCGGAAGCCCCAGGATCAGCGCCAGGATCCAGCTGGAGCTCGGCGCTGATCCTGGCACTTCCGCTGAGCCCAGAAGAAGCGCCGATCAGCTGGAATGTTGCAGCATCTCCAGGGTCTTGTGATCTACATTCAGATGCTTGGCAACTGATTCATATTTATGACGGTCCCAGGGTCATGTGAAGGGACCCAAACCTGCTGCAACCACCCAGCAGACGGGGGGGGGGGGAATATAAACCAAACACCCCCCACCCCAGCCCCGCTGCCAATCCTCAACAGAAATGCTCACAACAATGGAAACCTCGGACAGGAGGAAGAGCGCGGGCGGGCAGGCAGGGGTCTTGCTCAGCTGTGGCTTGGGGGGCACTTTTTTCAGTGCCATTGTAACTTCGAACAGTCACTAAGCGAACTGTTGTAAGTTGAGGACTACCTGTACTTTATCACTTTTTTCCTTTTTTCCTTTTTTTGGGGGGGGGTCATCAAGTTTTTGACACCTTGCTAGGCGACTGGTGGTACTCGGATGTTGCCATATCCTAAATGTGGTACAATGGGTGAAAAGGTTGAAAAGCCCTGTAATTAGAGAAACTAAATTTCTCCAGTTCTACTGAAGTGTGCCGAGAGGCCCGCAGTCTGGAAAGCTTTTAAGGACTTTCTAGCAGGTGTGAAGAAGATAGCAGACGGTTCCCACAATTAGATTAGATAACCTTTATTGTCATTTTTTTTCCCCTGTGGGCACAACGGCACACATTCAAAATGAAATTTAGTTGCTTCCTCTCAAAGTCTACACGTACCTAACACACATTTAAAACCTACGTAACAAAGGGAATTTGTTTACATGAGTTACGTGGACATCTGGGGTGGGGTGGGGTGTTGGTTGGGAATGTCATGGTTATATGCTATGGACTGGAGCCTTGGGATTTTAGAGTTACAATAGTGGCCAAAATTGTGGAAAACCTTTTGGGAAAAGTGTCCTGTAGAAATGCCACCTTTGGTTATGTTTCCACCCATTTTTCTTCTAATTTCTTTATAACTGTGGCCTCGTTCGCTTAATGATACTATTTTACATCGCTTTCTGGACAACCAGTCAACTCTTTGCACCATGATTTTAATTTTATTACTTTTTACAAGAAGGGCGGGATATAAATTAAAATAAATAAATAAATAATAAATAAATAAATGAAAGAACAAAAAAAAAAACCTCAACCAACTTGATAGCGATCACATAACACACTGACAAATGTCCTCCTCTCGGCTTCAATACAGGACATCAGTAACTGGATCCTACTGTGATCTGATTGGCTCATTGCCAAAACAACATGACACCCAATTGGCTCTCTAAATATACTCATTGGCTACAATCAGATGAAGGAAAGCTACCTGGGATCAACCTAAGCAAGTTGTGCTTCCTTTTTCTGGTTATTTGGCTATACCTTTTCCTAGAATACAGTACAGATAATTGAACGGACTTTGTTGCATTACATTCTTGATTAAAATGATCTTTCCATTGATATATAATTTTATGGTACTGTTCCCCCCAAAAAGTGGTGTTATTAGCCATCAGAGCTCAAAAATACACTTTTCCCAAAAGGTTTCCACAATTTTGGCCACTACTGTAGTTTTCCCTCCGTCTGTACCATGCCATATATTCAATAAAAAGTAAGCCTTTCAGAAATGAAAATAATAAACCAGAAATTTTTCTTCTGGGTCCAATGGAAAAAGACTTGGGGGGAAAAAAATAAATTTGAAACTCTGGTTTTGTATATGGTGAGGGGAGCAAGATGGCTGTACGCACAAAGATGGAAGGATGTTTCGATTCCCACCGTGGAGGAAAGCCGGTGGAATTAGCAGAGAGGGCTAAACTGACAGTTTGGATAAAAAGAAAACAATTATAAGTACTTTTGTGTCTACTTGGCAACCGCTTCTGGACTTTGTGCTTGAGGCGGGCAAAAAGGATGCTATGATTTTGGGTTTTACCTGATTGGATGGATTTGTTGATAACGGAAATGGCTAGTTCGTACCACTATAGCAGGGGTAGGCAACCCGGGCTCTTTTATGACTGGTGGACTTCAACTCCCAGAATTCCTGAACTCCAGCCATGCTGAGGAGAAAGGGAGAGGTTTCCAAGCTGAGCCATGCTGGCTGAGGAATTCTGGGAGTTGAAGTCCCCGAGTCATGAAGGGGCCACAGTTCCCCCCTGCTGGCTGAGGAATTCTGGGAGTTGAGGTCCACGAGTCATGAAGGGGCCATAGTTTCCTCCATGCTGGCTGAGGAATTCTGGGAGTTGAAGTCCACGAGTCATGAAGGGGCCATAGTTTCCTCCATGCTGGCTGAGGAATTCTGGGAGTTGAAGTCCACGAGTCATGAAGGGGCCATAGTCCCCCATGCTGGCTGAGGAATTCTGGGAGTTGAAGTCCACGAGTCATGAAGGGGCCATAGTCCCCCATGCTGGCTGAGGAATTCTGGGAGTTGAAGTCCACCAGTCATGAAGGGGCCATAGTCCCCCATGCTGGCTGAGGAATTCTGGGAGTTGAAGTCCACGAGAGTACTTCCCCGGTATCAAGAGGGTACGACCGAGAGGAATTCTGGGAGTTGAAATCCACGAGTCATGAAGGGGCCATAGTTCCCCCATGCTGGCTCAGGAATTCTGGGAGTTGAAGTCCACGAGTCATGAAGGGGCCATAGTCCCCCATGCTGGCTGAGGAATTCTGGGAGTTGAAGTCCACGAATCATGAAGGGGCCATAGTTCCCCCATGCTGGCTGAGGAATTCTGGGAGTTGGAGTCCACGAGTCATAAAATAGCCAAGGTTGCCTACCCCTGCACTATACAAATGTAAACATTTCTATATTAAAATGACAGAATTGGGAACAGAAATGAAAATAATCCTGGGCTTTTATTTGGATACTTGAGCTGGAGGTTGACATTCCCCTTTTTCTGCTCCTTTCGCAGTGTTTTTCCTACTTGTTAATGCGCCCGACGGTCCCGTCTGCGCCTCTTGTAAATAAACCGACATCGGACGCACCGCGGCATGTCCCGTCTCCTTCCCGTCGCCCGTCATCCGGTCTCCGAACCCATCGACACAAAAATCGCATCTCCGACTCGGCTCGGGTTTCCATTCCCCCCCCCCCCCGACACTTCATCCTGGCTCCTTCGTCCTTCCCGGAAGGCCAAAAAAAAAAAGAGCTTCAAGTTTGATCATCATCACAGATCCTGGCTTGTCTCTTCCTTACTGCTCCCCGGCTGCCAATCCTGGATGTTGGCCTGGGGGAAAAAAAAAAAAGTCTCGGCGAACTTTCCTGGCTTCGCCCACTCTCTGCTTAACCCTGTTAAGTGGCCACGGTTTTTAGACAGCCACGGTTTGATTCTCCCAAGCGTGAAGGGGGCGGCCTTCCCAAACCAGGCGCCTCCAACGCACCCGGTGCGCGGTTTCCAAAATTGCTAGCTAGGCCGCTCTGTTCGGTTGCAAGCCCGGCGTGTTTGAAAAGTGGCAGGCTGGGTGGGGTAGCCCTCTCCTCGCGAATTGCCTTCTCGGGGTCTGCAATGTTGGTCAACCTCGGCGGCTTTAAGACGGGTGGGCTTCAACTCCCAGAATTCCCCCAGCCAGCTGAAGCCCACCCGTGTTAAAGCCGCCGAGGTTGACCGACACTGTATCGGGAAGTCTGGCACAACACGACCGGGAATGGAAGCCGCCCCTGGTGAATTTCTGGCTGCTTAATCATTTGCTAATCCTTCGTCAAGCTGTCTCTTCTCCCCCCCCCCCTTCTAGATCCAGGAATGCAACCGCATTTTTTTTTTCCCCGCAGCCACAAAAGGTTTCCAGATGTTTCCTAGCATTGCTGGCCGTCCCCGGGACATCGCAGCCCAAACTCCTCCTTCCCATTCCAGATCCATCAAGGCTTTGCTTCCTTGTTTGGGAACAAGGAAGGAGGAGGAGAGAAAAAAAAATCGGGGAGGGGGTGTTGTGGAAGAGGCACAATTCAGGGGTGGTTGCAGACACACACACACACACACAGACACACACCGCCCCCCCCCAAAGCCTTCGTTTTTCCTGTTCTTCACCTCTGGTGGCCAAACCTTTTTTTTTTTTTTGAGGGGGGGTGTCATGAATTCAAATAAAGAAAGTGGAAAAGAATCTGCAAATAAGTCTGTGTTTTTTTTTTAATTACGGTCCGTCGCAGAGTTCAGCCAGATGTTACAGAGTGAATTGGGGCGTTTTTGTCCACCTGTTGAATCCGGAAACCCTACATCATTTCGGACAAGTGACTGTCCAATCTCTCCTTAAAAACCTCCAGCGATGAAGTACCCACAACTCCTGAAGGCAAATCATTCAGAAGAATAGAAATAACTTGAGTCGGAAGGGACCTTGGAGGTCTTCTAGTCCAACCCCCTGCTCAGGCAGGAAGCCCTATGCCATTCCAGATAAATGGCTGTCTAATCTCTCCTTAAAAACTTCCAGCGATGAAGCACCCACAATTCCTGAAGGCAAATCATTCAGAAGAATAGAAATAACTTGAGTCGGAAGGGACCTTGGAGGTCTTCTAGTCCAACCCCTTGCTCAAGCAGGAGACCCTATGCCAATTTAGACAAGTGGCTGTCCAGTCGCTTCTTAAAAACCTCCAGTGATGAAGCTTCTGGTGGCAAGCTGTTCCACAGGTGAATTGTCCTCACTGTCGGGAAATTTCTCCTTAATTCCAGGTTGCTTACTCTCCTTGCTTAGTTTCCATCGGTTGTCCTGCCTTCGGGTGCTTTGGAAAATAAGTTGAACCCCCACCCCTCTTTATTTTCTTACAGACAACAAGTCATCACATAATATAATATATAATAAGTGTACGGAAAATAAGCCCACCCGTTAATTTTCTTACAGACGCTTCGTTACGCAAACATCATCAGTGCTAGAAGGGAGGGGGGTTTGCGGAGAGGAGGAAGAGGGGGGCTGTGTGGCTGATGGTCTCTGAGCTGGGTAGTTTTCTTGCAGACATTTCATGACCCAACATCATCAGTGGGAGGAGGAGGAGGAGGACTGTGAGGTCCTTGGTGCTCTCTGAGCTTGGTGGTTTCCTTGCAGACATTTCATGACCCAACTAGGGAACCTCATCAGTGCTAGAAGGGAGGAGGAAGAGGAAGGAAGGAAGGAAGGAAGGAAGGAAGGAAGGAAGGAAGGAAGGAAGGAAGGAAGGACTGTGGGGTCCTTGGTGTTCTCTGAGCTTGGTGGTTTTTCTTGCAGACATTTCATGACCCAACTAAGAAACATAATCAGTGCTAGAAGGGGTTTGACAGGAGGAGGAGGAATAACTGTAATAGTTTAACAGAGTTGGAAGGGACCTTGGAGGTCTTCTAGTCCGACCCCCTGCTCAAGCAGGAGACGGAGGAGGAGAAGGAAGACTGTGGCTGGTCCTCGCTGCTCTCTGAACTTGTTAGTTTTTTTGCAGGCGTTTCATGACCCAACTAGGGAACATCATCAGGGCTAGAAGGGAGGAGTGTGAAGTGGAGGAGGACTATGGGGTCCTTGATGCTCTCTGAGCCGGGTTGTTTTCTTGCAGACATTTCATGACCCAACTACCTAACATCATCAGTGCTAGAAGGGAAGGGGTTTTGCACTGATGATGTTCCCTAGCTGGGTCACGAAACGTCTGCAAGAAAACAACCCCGTTCAGAGAGCACCAAGGCGCCCTTCTCTTCATAATTCACTTAAGTGTGGCCAAAAAATAAAAAAAGGCCGTCAAATGAAGCTCAACTCACTTAACAGCTGCTCAGCAATGAAATTTTGGGGATCCGTTGTAAGTCAAGCGCTAGCTCTACCCACTTCCGCCATATGGGGGCACATCCCATAATATCCCCGGCTCTTCTCATCCCTCGTCTTCGGAGAGCGATGGTGACAAGGACACTTCTGTGACCTGGCACCCCCAAGCCTGTGCTTCTCCTCGACAGCCCAAACTTCCCCCCCCCCAACCTGCTAGTCCTCAAGATAAATAAATAAAACTCGGACCCGCCTTGACTCTGCCTGGGTCCCTCATCCATCTCTGCCTCCAGGCCTCTGCCAGATGTTCAGATTTTCTTTGCGCATGCCCAACGCAGCTGCAAGACGCATCCTCGTTGTCGTCACGCCCCCGCAGAGCACCCTGGTGGTGTGTGTCGCTATTCCTCCGGGTTGGTGCTGCACCGCCTGTGGAACTCCTGCCCGTGTTCGTGGAACCACTTGTTGGCCACTGGGGGGGGGGGAGAGGAGGCACACGAAGGATCAGGAGGGCACGGATACGTCGCACCCGTTTGCAAAGCGGCCATTTACACCAGGTGTAACCTACATCGTTATAACTTGGCTTTACTACCACAACGGAGCCCAAAGTTTCCGTCGCTAAGCGAGACGGTTGTTATGTGAGTTTTGCCCCCGTTTTACAACCACGCTTGCTTTTCTAGGCTGCCCTATCTACGTTTCCTGGTAAAATACATGGGAAAATCCCATTGGAGGAAAATCCCACTTAGGGTTAGGGTTAGGTCACCATGAACTCATAAAGCAAAATGGACATCGCCAATAAATTCGGAGTGCTTGGGTATGGCTAGGAGGGCACTGACTTTTCTAGGGACGGGATAGATACAAAGGACCATTTTAAGTACCCTTTTAGGGTAACGAGGAAAATTCCACTTAGGGTTAGGGTTAGGTCACCATGGACTCATAGAGCAAAATAGACACGGCCAACAAATTTGTAGTGCTTGGGTGTGGTTAGGAGGGCACTGACTTTTCTAGGCTGCCCTATCTGCGTTTCCTGGTAAAATACATGGAAAAATCCCATAGGAGGAAAATTCCACTTAGGGTTAGGGTTAGGTCACCATGAACTCGGAGAGGAAAATGGACACCGCCAATAAATTCGGAGTGCTTGGGTATCGTTAGGAGGGCACTGACTTTTCTAGGCTGCCCTATCTATGTTTCCTGGTAAAATACATGGGAAAATCCCATGGGAGGAAAATTCCACTTCCTATACCATCTCAGACAGGAGATTGTCCATATAAATAAATATAAAGACTCCTGAACCCTGAACAGCTCAACTATCTCCTACTCCAATCTCTCTCCACCTTAGCAGTCTGAAGATTTGTGGACTTCATTTCCCAGAATTCCCCAGCCAGCATGAGTTGAAGTCCATCCATTCTGGCTGGGGGATCCTGAGAGCTGAAATCCACCCATGCCCATTGGGGAATTCTGGGAGTTGAAGCCCACTCATTTTGGATGGGGGGGGTGTTTTCTGGCAGCTGAAATCCACAGTGCTGGTTGAGGGGATGCTGGGAATATGCTGGTGCCGATTAAGCTGGAAATTACCCCCCATCCTTTCCAAAAAAGGCATTGAAATTAATCTATCTTAAGAAGTTACAGATGGATCCAGACAAACATAAATGTTTATAGCAGTGTTTACCACAAATATGCTGGTTTCAACTCCCAGAATTCCCCAGCCAGCTAAACAGGCTTCAGTTCCCACAATTCCCCAGCTATGCTGACTAGGGGAATTCTGGGCATTGAAGGACTACTTTGCAGCATAAATAAACAAAAGTCCTCAACTTCCAACCGTTCCTTTAGTGACCAAAATTACAACGGCATTGGAAACAGTGACTTAATGCCCTTTTTTTCACATTTAAGAACCGCTGCGGCCTCCCCAGGGTCACGTGATCGAAATTCAGTCCCTTGGCAACTGTTTCGTATTGATGACGGTCGCAGCGTCCGGGGGTGGTGGTGTCACGTGACTTTGCTTTGTGAGTTTCTCACAAGCCAAGTCAATGGGGAATTCACGGATTCACTTAACCGTCTTACTAACGTAACCACTACAGGGATTCGTTTACTAACCGTGGCAAGAAATGGGGCAAAAACCCGCTTAACCAAGGTCTCGCTTAGCAACAGAAACTTTGGGCTCCATCGTGGCCGTAAGTCCAGGACTGCCTGCAGTGGCAACGCTTGATCGGGTGCCAGCCTCCCCCCGCAAAGTACTAGAGGGCATCTGAGCTTGGAGGGTCCTGCCATCCGCAGCGTTTCCTCCGTAGCTGCAGCAAGACGGGTCTGGGGGGAGGGAGGGGGAAAGGGGGGGGCCCCACTTGCTCACCCCACTTGTCTCCGGCCAGGACTGGGCATCCAGCGTGGAGGGTGTCCTCATCCCCTTGGCCGTTCTTACGCAGGTTCCACCAGAACAGAGCCGCGTTCTTCAAAAGAGACCAGAAGAGAAGAGGGTGTGTGTGGGGGTGTCTACAGGGGAGTGGCCCCCAACCCAGGCTAGGCCACGTGGGGGGGACGGGGAGGGGCGGGTGTTCGAAAATGTCAAGGTGAGAGTCACCTTACAGGGGAGACGGATGGCCTGCACACTGAGCGAGTGAATGAATGAATGAATGAATGAATGAATGAATAAGTGAATAAGTGAATGAGTGAGAGTGAATGAGCAAAGAATGAGTGAATTAATGAGTGAATGAGTGAATGCATGAATGAGTGAATGAATGAGCAAAGAATGAGTGAATGAATTCAGTAGTGAATGTGTGAATGAGTGAGTAAAGGAATGAGTGAATGAATTAGTGAATGCATGAATGAGAGTGAGAGGGAATGAATGAATGAGAGTGAATTAGTGAATGCATGAATGAGAGTGAGTGAATGAATGAGCAAAGATGAATGAATGAATGTGAATGCGTGAATGAGTGAGTAAATTAATGAGAGTGAATGAATTAGTGAATAAGTGAATGAATGAGTGAGTGAGTGAATGAGAGTGAATGAATGAGCAAAGAATGAGTGAATGAATTAATTAATGAGGGACTTGGGGAATGTGTGAATGAGTGAGTGAATGAATTAGTGAACAAGTAAATGAATGAGTGAGTGAATGAATGAACAAAGAATGATTGAATGAATGAATTAGTGAATGCGTGAATGAATGAATGAATGAATGAATGAATGAGTGAAATGAATTAGTGAATGTGAATGAGTGAGTGAGTGAATGAGAGTAAATGAATGAGCAAAGAATGAGTGAATGAATGAATTAGTGAATGAATGAGTGAATGAATGAATATAGTGAATAAGTGAATGAGAGAGTGAATGAATGAGCAAAAAATGAATTATTGAATGTGAATGAGTGAGTGAGAGTGAATGAATGAGCAAAGAATGAGTGAATGAATGAATTAACGAGAGACTTGGGGAATGCGTGAATGAGTGAGTGAGTGAATGAATAAATGAGTGAGTGAATTAGTGAATAGGTAAATGAATGAGTGAGTGAATGAATGAGCAAAGAATGAATTAGTGAATGAATTAGTGAATGAGTGAATGAGTGAGAGTGAATGAGTGAATGAATGAATATAGTGAATGAGTGAATGAGTGAGAGTGAATGAATGAGCAAAGAATGAGTGAATGAATGCACGAATGAGCGAGTAACTGAGGGAATGAATAAAGGCACGAGTGAACGGACGAATGAACGAATGACAGGGCTGCTGTGACCCTGATAGGGACATTTTTGCCAGGAAGCAGATCTGAGGACACAGTCAGGTTTTGACTCCCCAGGAAGAAAAGCATCCAGGAGGGGAATCGCCCACCAGGAAGTGACTCACCTTCACAACCGGCACGCTCAGATTGGCATAAATGAAGGCAGTCGATCCTCCGGCTTCTACCGAACTTAGCTAAGCAAAAAGAGGCAATAGAAAGGATGAATCCTTGAATAACTAGAAGGGACCTTGGAGGACTTCTAGTCCACCCCCCCTGATCAAGCCAGGAGATCCCATACCATTCCAGACAAACGGTTGCCCAATCTTTATTGAAAACCTCCCGTGATGGAGTCCCCACAACTCCTAGCCCTAATTCACAATTCTAGTCTCGGTAGCCCTTGTTGGGGTGGGTGGGTTGTATGGTAATACAATCAACATTAATTAGAGTAGGGGGTTCGTTCATATCAGGGCCCCCCCAAAACCTTTCAAAGTATATGAATAGAACATAACAGAACACAACAGAACAGAACAGAATAGAAATATAGAATAGAATAGAATAGAATAGAATAGAAATATAGAATAGAATAGAATAGAATAGAATAGAATAGAATAGAATAGAATAGAAATATAGAATAGAATAGAATAGAATAGAATAGAATAGAATAGAATAGAATAGAATAGAATAGAATAGAAATGCAGGATAGAAAATAAAAGAATAGAAAAGAATAGAAATACAGAATAGAATAGAATAGAATAGAAATACAAAATAGAATAGAATAGAATGGAACAGAACAGAACAAAATAGAAATACAGAATAGAAAATAATGGAATAGAATAGAATAGAATAGAATAGAATAGAATAGAATAGAATAGAATAGAATAGAATAGAATAGAAATGCAGGATAGAAAATAAAAGAATAGAATAGAAAAGAATAGAAATACAAAATAGAATAGAATAGAACAGAACAGAACAAAATAGAAATACAGAATAGAAAATAATAATAGAATAGAATAAAATAGAATAGAATAGAATAGAATAGAATGATGGTGGGCGTGCCCCTCTGCCTGGAACTCGAACACAGAACCTTCAGCAATCTCTTGCACCCCTAAGTCTGCCATGGATGCCCGAGAAAGAAAGGAAGGAAGGAAGGAAAATAAATTTAAAAACTCACATAGATCATCAATGTAGCTATTCGATTTCCAGATTTCATCCGATACAGGGGGCTTTTTCTGGACTGAGAAGGGGGAAAACATGAGATTTTTTTGGGAGCAGCTTGTTGCAAGATCAGACATTCGTTGGAGTTTACAATGCTTGTATTGTATGGGTCAATTCTTAACATAACTCATTTTTTTCATCCCACCTTTATTATTTTTTTTATAAATAATTAAGGTAACGAACATACACCATATGCCTTCTTCCTTCTATTTTCCCCACAACAACCTTGGGCTGAAAGAGAGCGACTGGGCCTAAGTCACCCAGCCGTTTTCAGGCCTAAGGCGGGACTAGAACTCACCGTCTCCTGGTGATTGGCCCAAAGTCACCCACCTGGCTTTCATGCCTAAGGCAGGAGTAGAACTCAGCACCTCAAGATGATTGGCCCAAAGTCACCCAGTTGGCTTTCATGCCTAAGGCGGGACTAGAATTCCCCACCTCCTGATGATTGGCCCAAAGTCACCAAATCCACATTCATGCCTAAGGCAGGACTAGAACTCAGCACCTCAAGATGATTGGCCCAAAGTCACACAACTGGCTTTCATGTCTAAGTCAGGACTAGAACTCCCCACCTCCTAGTGATTGGCCCAAAGTCACGCAGTCCACTTTCATGGCTAAGGTGGGGCTAGAACTCACCGTCTCCTAGTGATTGGCCCAAAGTCACCCAGCCGACTTTCGTGCCTAAGGCGGAACTGGAACTCACCACCTTCTAGTGATTGGCCCAAAGTCACCCAGGTGGCTTTCATGCCTAAATCGGAACTACAACTCACCACCTCCTAGTGATTGGCGCAGTCATCCAGCTGGCCTTCAGGCCTAAAGTGGGATGAGAAGTCATCCTTTCCTGGTGATTGGGCCACATCTTGGCTAAGGCGGGTCTAGAACTCGCCTTCTCCTGCCGATTGGCTCAAAGTCACCCAGCTGGCTTTCATGCTTAATGCAGAACTAGAACTCAAATCTCCTGGTTCCTAGCCTGGTGCTTTCTGAGATCTTTCCTTTTTTTTTACACCCACTGACTTTCCTTTTTTCTCTTTCCCTTTTGGAAAAATCTTTGGTTACAAATTAAGCCTGGCTATTGTTGCATCTGAAGGTGGAAAGGCTGTTTTGCAAGGGGTTTACTCACCGTCGCGTGGTCGAAGTGGGGCTCGTAGTGGCCTCCCAACCCGTAGTTGACCACCTGGAGGTATTCCGCATAAGGGTGCTGGGTATTCAGGCCCGTTAAGGCCGCAGCCCGCCGACCCAAGGCCCCGATCACAGGATCCACGCTGTCCTTCAGCCAAGCACTGAAAAAGATCCAGCGACAGCCGCAGTCCGACAGGGAGTTAACAAAATTGGGTTCCACCAGAGAGCAATTTAAGGGGACTTGGGACGGCTTTTGCCTCCAGAGGTTGTGGGTGGCCCAACCACGGGAGGTTTTCAAGGAGAGACTGGAATCTGTCCGCGATAGTAGAAGGTCTAGAACAGCGGTTCTCAACCTGTGGGTTGCGACTTCATTTGGGGTCGATCAACCATTTCACGGGGGTCGCCAAGCAAGGCTGTCCGCCATTTTTTTTGTCCGCCATTTTTTCCCCCCTTTTCCGGCGGGTGCCTTACCTCCCTTGGGCTGGGCCAGCTGGTGGTCGGCCTGCTCCGTCTCTGCCGCTTGCCAGATACGCCTCGGCCGGCGCAGGGGGCGGAACCACGCATGCACGGCGCTCCCGGGCAGGGAAAGTCCTCGACTTACGACCGGTTGGGTAGTCCTCGACTTACGACCGGTTTAGTCCTCGACTTACGACCGGTTTAGTCCTCGACTTACGACCGGTTTAGTCCTTGACTTACGACCGGTTGGGGGTCGCGGCATTAAAAAGGTTGAGAACCACTGCTCTAGAAGATCTCCAAAGTCCCTTCCAATTTGCTAGTCCTGTTATTCTGTTATTCTGACTTAATCCATAACTCTAATCAAAGAGGGGAGGAGGAGGAGGAGGAGGAGGAGGAAGGACCGTGGGGTCCTTGGTGCTCTCTGAACTGGATGGTTTCCTTGCAGACGTTTCATGACCCAAGTAGGTAACATCTTCAGTGCTAGAAGGGAGGAGGGTGGGTGGAGAGGAGGAGGAGGAGGAAGAGGCAGGAAGGAAGGAAGGAAGGAAGGAAGGAAGGAAGGAAGGAAGGAAGGAAGGAAGGAAGGAAGGAAGGAAGGAAGGAAGGAAGGAAGGAAGGAAGGAAGGAAGGAAGGACTGTTGGGGTCCTTGGTGCTCTCTGAGCTGGGTGGTTTTCTTGTAGATGTTTCATGACCCAACTAGGTAACAACATCAGAGCTAGAAGGGAAGGGGGTGGGTGGCGAGGAGGAGGAGGAGGAGGAAGAGGAAGAGAAGGAGGAGGAGAAGGAGGAGAATGACTGAGGTCTTTAGTGCTCTCTGAGCTGGGTTGGTTTTTGCAGATGTTTCATGACCCAACTAGGTAACAACATCAGTGCTAGAAGGGAGGGGGTGGGTGGAAGGAGGAGGAGGAGGAGGAGGAGGAGAATGACCGTGGGGTCCTCCGTGCTCTCTGAGCTTGCTTGTTTTCTTGCAGACGTTTCATGACCCAACAAGAGAACATCATCACTGCTAGAAGGGAGGAGGAGAAGGAGGACAGTGGAGTCCTTGGTGCTCTCTGAGCTTGGTGGGTTTCCTTGCAGACGTTTCATGACCCAACTAGAGAACATCATCAGTGCTAGAAGGGAGGGGGGTTTGCGGAGTGGAAGAGGAAGAGAATGGGAGGAGGAGGAAGAGGAGGCGTGGGGGAAGGAGAAAGACAAAAAAAAAGGGAGAAGGAGAAAGAAGAAAGAGAAGGAGGAGAAAGTTACCAGGGTGCAGAAGAAGCAGTTTCCCCCCCCCCAAATAATAATACTAATTATCTGAAAGCATCCACTAACAAACTTCCACCCGACAGCCATTCCCACATATATTGCTAATCGGCATTTAAAAGACTTCAACGGGACCAATCCTAACCGGATCTCTTTTTCCACAGAGCATCCCAGGCGAGGAAAGAGTTAACGGCTCCGTTCTCTCCGTAGCTGGAGAAGCACTTAAGGTTTTGTTTTTTTCCCTCCAACCGGCTGCAAAATTCAGCGGTGAGATCATGCAACTTCGTTTTAAGGGATGCTGTGCAACTATAGCAACTTGATCTGTGTTTTCCCCACTTTTCTTGGCCTTTCCCGAGGCCGTCTGAAGTCACTTCCCTCCAACTCAGACAGACCGTTCTGCGGGAAATGATTAACGGCGTTTATAGAGTCGGCCCTCCGGAGAAAGATTCACAGGGAAGGAAAAACCAGACAGCCGCTTTATAATAATGTAGACGTGGAAGGTCATTCAGAAAGGGTGAACTTTCCCCCGCCGTGAAAGTGCCAGTGCAAAGGCAGGCCAAAGAAAGGGGTGGCTCGGGCAGTTTTGGGGGACAAACCCCGCCCTCCCCTTAGACCGGCTGTCTGCATCTCAGGAAGAAAAAAGCCAGATTTTTGAAACAAGGGCTGGAGAACCTCCAGGAGGAGCCAGCTTGGGCTCCTTCCGAAGACGGCAGAAGAACCGAAAAAGGAGGAGGAGAAAGAAGGGAAGGAAAGAAAGGAGGGAGGGAGTAGACAGTGAGATGGGTGGCGAAGGAAGGAAGGAAGGAAGATAGGAAAGGAGGAAGGGGGAAAAGAAAAGGAAGGAAAGCAAAGGAGAGAGGGAGGGAGGGAGGGAGGAAGGAATAGAAAGAAGAGATGAAAGAAAGGGAGGAAGGAAGAAAGGAAGATAGGAAGGAAGGGGGAAGGAAAGGAGGAAGGGGGAAAGGAAAGGAGGAAGGGGAAAGGAAAAGGAAGGAAAGCAAAGGAGGGAGGGAGGGAGGGAGGAAGGGAGGAATAGAAAGAAGAGATGGAAGGAAGGGAGGGAGGGAGGAAGATAGGAACGGAAGGAAGGAAGGGGAAGGGGAAACGGAAGGAAAGCAAAGGAGGGAGGGAGGAAGGAATAGAGAAGAGATGAAAGAAAGGGAGGAAGGAAGGAAGATAGGAAGGGAGGAAGAAAGGAAGGGGAAAGGGAAAGAGAAGAAAAGCAAAGGAGGGAGGGAGGAATAGAAAGAAGAGATGAAAGAAAGGGAGGAAGGAAGATAAGGAATGAAGGAAGGAAGATAGGAAAGGAGGAAGGGGGAAAGGAAAAGGAAGGAAAGCAAAGGAGGGTGGGAGGGAGAAAGGAATAGAAAGAAGAGATGAAAGGGAGGAAGGGAGGAAGGGAGGGAGGGAGGAAGGAAGGAAGGAAGAGGAAATGGAAGGAAAGCAAAGGTGGGAGGGAGGAAGGAATAGAAAGAAGAGATGAAAGAAAGGGAGGGAGGAAGGAAGGAAGGAAGGAAGGGGAAAGGGAAACGGAAGGAAAGCCAAGGACGGAGGGAAGGAGGAAGGAAGGAAGGAAAAGATGAGAGGAGAGGAGGGGAGAGGAAAGGGAAGAAGGAGAACGAAGGAAGGAAAGAGCAAGAAAGGAAGGAAGGAAGGAGAAAAAGAAGGAAAGGAGAAAGGAAGGGAGGGAGGAAAGAGAAAAAGGAAAGGGGGAAGAAATTACTGGCTGGGGAATTCTGGGAGTTGAAGTCCACCCATCTTACCTCTGACTTATCCGATAGTCTGCTTCTTCCTGTTTCTCCCCGGAAGCCACCACCGATCTCTGCAACTGGAGAAGAAGAGGGATGAGGGAGAGAGGAGAGGAGAGGAAGGAGAGGGGGAAGGGACGGCTCATTTAGTGACCACTCTAAGTTACAACATCGCCGAGAAAAGGGACTTACGACTGTTTTTCACCCTTACAACCGTTGCAGCATCCCCAGGGTCACGTCATCATCAAAGATGCTTAGCAACTGGCATGTACTTAGACAGTTTTAGTGTCCCAGGAGTCACGTGATCCCCTTTTGCGACCTCTTGGTAAGCCAAGTCAACGGGGGAAGCCGGATTCACTTAACAACCGTGTGACTCACTCAATAACGGCAGCAATTCACTTAACAACCGCCGCAAGAAAGGTCACAAAATGGGGGAAAACTCACTTAACGACTTGTCTTGCTTAGCGACAGAAATTTTGGGTCTCAGTTGGGGTCATATAAGTCGAGCACTACACGACCTGGTTAACAGAACTTACATGATTTGTTTCTTTCTGGTTTGTTTATTCGTTCATTCATTCGTTCATTCATTCACTTATTCACTTATTTACTTACTATTTTATTTTATTTTATTTTATTTTATTTTATTTTATTTTATTTTATTTTATTTTATTTTATTATTTTATTTTATTATTTTATTTTATTATTTTATTTTATTATTTTTTATTTTATTTTATTTTATTATTTTATTGTATATTTTATTTTATTATTTTATTTTATTTTATTTTATTATTTTATTTTATTTTATTTTATTTTATTTTATTTTATTATTTTATTTATTTATTTTATTTTATTTTATTTTATTTTATTATTTTATTTTATTTTATTTTATTTTATTTTATTATTTTATTTTATTTTATTTTATTTTATTTTATTTTATTTTATTTTATTATTTTATTATTTTATTTTATTATTTTATTTTATTATTTTATTTTATTTTATTTTATTCCTTTCTGATTTTTCGTTCCTTCTCCCAATCTTTTCAAAGGAATCTTTTCATTTCTCCAATGCTTTAATAATACCATTTATATTTAAATGGTTTGAACGTAAACCACTTCAAGCTTTGCAGTGATGGGAAGAGGTATTAGCAACACTGCTAACATCGGAATATTTTGCATTGATAACAGATGGAAATGTAGCCACCTTTTACCTTTTGCTTTTAGAGTTAGAGGATGCTGGGAAGAGGGGGGGCGCGAAGGAGAGTTCAGCTAGAAATATAACAACACTGAACTTAGCGTGAGAACCAAGGTTATTGAAATAAGAGATGATAAGAATTGGCCGGGCTGGAGAGCTGGAGGGGAAGCCTGCATTTCAAGCTAATTGGGAGAATGTGATTTATAACTGTTAATTGGAGGAGGGAATTGTGCTTTGATACTATGTGCTCATTGAGTATTTATAATAATAATAATAAAGTTGGAAGGGACCTTGGAGGTCATCTAGTCCAACCCCCTGCTCAGGCAGGAAACCCTATACCATTTCGGACAAATGTCTGTCCAGTCTCTTCTTAAAGACTTCCAGTGTTGGAGCATTCACCGCTTCTGGAGGCAGGTAGTTCCACTGGTTAATTGTTCTAACTGTCAGGAAGTTTCTCCTTAGTTCCAGGTTGCTTCTCTCTTTGGTTAGTTTCCATCCGTTGCTTCTTGTCCTGCCTTCAGGCGCTTTGGAGAATAGATTGACTCCCTCTTCTTTGGGGCAGCCCCTGAGATACTGGAACACTGCTATCAAGTCACCCCTATTTCTTCTCTTCATTAAACTAGACATACCCAATTCCAGCAGCCGTTCCTTATATGCTTTAGCCTCCAGTCCCCTGATCATCTTTGTTGCTCTTCTCTGCACTCTTTCTAGCTAACTCTGCTCAGGGGAGGGGAATTCAGTTTTTGGCTTCGATTATATAAGCGCCGATATTATGCTACTCAAATAAAAGATTCTTTAAGGTAAACAATGCCTTGAAGTTCTTTGAAGAGTTTCATCTGTCAGAACCATGACAGGTGTTACACTAAGAAAATGCACAAAAGGGCAGGGGGGAAGAGAAACTATGCAAAACACGGGAGAAATAGGCCTCAAAAATCCTATATATATATCTCTTAGAATCAACCCTTGGGGAGAAAATACCTTCTCATGTTCAATCAGCCTTAAACAGCTATGGAAAAAATGAACAAGGAGAATTTCGCCCATTCATAAAAAAGGAGAAACTGACCGGGTCCAGAACTAAGATTCACTTACAGGGAGTCCTCGAATTACGACCTCAAATGAGCCCAAAAGGCCTGTGGCTATACAAGACAGTTGCTAAGCGAGTTTTGTTCCACTTTGTGACCTTTTTTGCAGTGTTATTAAATAAATCGCTGCGGTTGTTAAGTTAGTAACACGGTCGTTAAGGCTTCCCTCGCTGACTTTGCTTGTCAGAACGACACAAAAAGCGATCCCACGACGCCGGGACATCGCAACCGTCATAAGTACGAGCATCTGAATCGATCGTGTCATTCTAGGGATTCTGCGATGGTCCTAAATGTGAAAAACGGTCATAAATCACGTTTTTGAGTGCCGTGGTAAGTCTGAACGGTCGCTAAATGAACGACAGGTAGTCCTCGACTTACAGTGGTCCCCTTAGTGACCGTTCCAAGTTACAACGGCACTGAAAAAAGGACCATTTTTCACACTTACGACCTTTGCAGCCTCCCGGTGATCATGTGATCAAAATCCAAATGCTTGGAAACTGACATGTACTTAAGACGGTTGCAATGTCCCCAGATCATGTGATCCTCTTTCGCAACCTTCTCACCAGCCAAGTCAATGGGGGAAGCCAGGTTCATTTAACAACCGTGTTGTTCACTTAACAACTGGAGCGATTCGCTGAACCGCCATTATAAAATGGGGCAAAACTGACTCCACAAATGTCTCACTTAGCGACCTAAATTTTGGGCTCCGTGGTGTGCCGTAACTCCAGGTCTACCTGCACCTTGACAGCAGGAGAAATGCTAAAGAAGAGCAGCCCGCCGAGGCACCACGTACCCCCGGAACCGCCAGGGCCTTGATCTTCTCCGCCTCTGACGGGCTGACGAAGTCGTGGTACAGGGTCAGCTCAGGCTGCGGGTGCAAAACTTCCTTTTTCAGAGGCTGCAGGATCAGCCAAGGGCTCCGATTGGCCTCGTAGGAGCAAGAGAGTCGATCGTGGGCTGGCTGAAAGGAGAGCGGGACAAGGGGGCCGTTTTGCAAAGCAACATATATATATATATATATATATAATTTATCGGTTGATTTAAATGTGTTCGCCGGCTTCAATAATAATAATAATAATAATAATAATAATAATAATAATAATAATAATAATAATAATGTATTAATATATGTCTAATGCAGTGTTAATATATGTATTAATATATGTCTAATGCAGTGTTTCTCCATCTTGGCAACATGAGGACAGGTGGACTTCAACTTCGACCTGCCTTTAATAACCCTAACCCTCTGGGGACGCCTCTGAATTATTTTATCTAGACCAGGGGTAAGCAACCTTGGCCCCTTCATGACTTGGGGACTTCAACTCCCAGAATTCCTCAGCCAGCATGGGGGAACTATGGCCCCTTCATGACTCATAGACTTCAACTCCCAGAATTCCCGAGCTAGCATGGGGGGAACTATGGCCCCTTCATGACTCGTAGACTTCAATTCCCAGAATTCCTCAGCCAGCATGGGGGAACTATGGCCCCTTCATGACTCATGGACTTCAACTCCCACAATTCCTCAGCCAGCATGGGGGAACTATGGCCCCCTCATGACTGGTGGACTTCAACTCCCAGAATTCCTGAGCCAGCATGGGGGAACTATGGCCCCTTCATGACTCGGGGACTTCAACTCCCAGAATTCCTCAGCCAGCATGGGGGAAACTTTGGCCCCTTCATGACTCGCGGACTTCAACTCCCAGAATTCCTGAGCCGGCATGGCTCAGCATGGAAACCTCTCCCTTTCCCCTCAGCATGGCTGGCTCAGGAATTCTGGGAGTTGAAGTCCACGAGACATAAAAGAGCCAAGGTTGCCTACCCCTGATCTAGACTGTCGGCGAGCCCTATTGGAGGGTGTCTTAGAGTTACACCACCAACTTGGTTTGGGGAAAAGGAGGTTTGATCTCTGCCTTCTTCTGCTAAAAGTCCCTTCCCAGCTTCTGGGAGACTCTGTTTCGAGGTTACTGTTCCTTGGCAAGTCAACTGGGAGAATCACGAGGACTAGAAAACATGTTAGAAATGAATTGGGACCTGGCAGAAGCGAATGGTAAGGAAATCAGAGTGGGGAAGGTGTTGGAGCTGGAAGGCCCATGCTTAAGTCTTTAAAGGTCAGGGTTGCCTTATTGGTGAGAGAGAAAGAGAAGAGAGAGAGAAAGAGAAGAGAAGAGAAGAGAAGAGAAGAGAAGAGAGAGGGAGGGAGGGATGGAAGGAAAGGAGGGAGGGAGGAGAAAGGAAGGAAGGAAGAAAGAAAGAAAGAAGAAAGAAAGAAAGAAAAAGAAAGAAAGAAAAGAGGGAGGGATGGAAGGAAGAGAAGGAGGGAAGGAGAAGGAAGGAAGGAAGGAAGGAAGAGAGAGCGAAAGAAAAGAGAAGAGGGAAGGAGGGAGGAGAGAGATAGTAGGAAGGGAAGGAGGGAGGAGAAAGAAAGGAAGGAAGGAAGAGAGAGAGAAAGAAAGAAAAAGAAAAGGGAGGGAGGGAGGAGAGGGAAGGAAGGGAAGGAGGGAGGGAGGGAGGAGAAAGGAAGGAAGGAAGAAAGAGAGAAAAAGAAAAGAGGGAGGGAGGGAGGAGAGAGATGGTGGGAAGGGAAGGAGAGGAGGAAGGAAGGAAGGAAGAGAGAAAGAGAAAGAAAAAGAAAAGGGAGGGAGGGATGGATGGAGGAAGGAGAGGGATGGAAGGAAGGGAAGGAGGAAGGGAGGAGAAAGGAAGGAAGAAAGAGAGAAAGAAAAAGAAAAGAGAAGAAGGAGGGAGGGAGGGAGGGAGAGAGAGAGAGAGAGAGAGAGAATTAGTTAGGTGAACTCTCTGCCAAGCAAGATTTGGATGAGACCTTCCCTTTATAGGCTTGTGTTTGTAAGGATAAAGTGGAAGCAGAGTTGCATGGAACATGGGAATTTCCTTGGAAAAAGCAGATTACGTATACACCTGCAGAGACACACATATAAAAAAAAATGCAATAATTAGGTCTCCCCCCCGTCAGAGGTGCCTACACCACATCATTCTTGGTCCTCCTCTAAATGCCACATGCTCCTTCCTCAGAAAAAGGCCTCCACCGCTCGCCCACCTGAGACCCCAGCCTCTGGCAGAGCTTCTCGTAGGCCTCTCGCGTCTCCAGGTGGGTCACGTTGGGTCTCTGCAACGTTGGGACCCTTTCTTCGCCCTCCTCCCGGCTCTTCCTCAGAAGCTTCTCGTACTTCAAGACATTCCTCGCCATCCGTTCATTGCCTGGATCTGGGGGGAGAGAAGAATCTGTCGCAACCGTTAGGTGAAACAGCATCGTCGTTAAACGAATCACATGGTCGTTCAGATAGTCACACAGTTGTTAAGCGAACTCAGCTTTCCCAATCGACACTTGCAACTGGTCGCAAATGCGAGCGCCTGAATTGCAATCATGGGAGTGGCGCGACCGTCGTCAGTTTAAGGACAGCCGTTTGTCCAAAATGGTGTAGGGTTACCTGCCTGAGCAGGGGGTTGGACTTGATGACCTCCAAGGTCCCTTCCAACTTTTTTAATAATGATGAACGCCCCAATTGTCGCTAGTCCTCAAATTAAGTGAATCCGGCTTCCCAATGGACTTTGCTTGTCCGAAGATCGCAAAAAGGGGATCACACGACCCCGGGTGTGTTGCAACCGTCATAAATACGAGTCAGTTGCCGAGGGTCTGAATTTTGACCACGTGACCGCGGCGGAGGCTGCAACTGTCATAAGTCCGTATCAGTTTCCAAGCATTCGGGTTTTGAGCACATGCTGCAAAGTGTGAAAAAACGGTAACCACTTTTTTTCAACGCCGTTGTGACTTTGAACGGCCACTAAACAAACAGCCGAAAGTCGAGGACTGTCTGTTCAGTAATCAGGAGTTTAATTTCTTAGCCCAGTGGTTCTCAACCTGTGGGTCGGGACCCCATTTGGGGTCGATCGACCATTTCACGGGGGTCGCCAAGCAAGGCTGTCCGCCATTTTTTTTGTCCGCCATTTTTTTTGTCCACCATTTTTTTTCCCTTTTCCGGCGGGTGCCTTACCTCCCTTGGGCTGGGCCAGCTGGTGGTCGGCCTGCTCCGTCTCTGCCGCTTGCCAGCTACGCCTCGGCCGGCGCAGGGGGTGGAACCACGCATGTGCGGTGCTCCCGGGCAGGGAAAGTCCTCGACTTACGACCGGTTGGGTAGTCCTCGACTTACGACCGGTTTAGTCCTCGACTTACGACCGGTTTAGTCCTCAACTTACGACCGGTTTAGTCCTCGACTTACGACCGGTTGGGGTCGCGGCATTAAAAAGGTTGAGAACCACTGTCTTAGCCAAACAAATCGGCGTTCAGTCAATGGGGTTCTTTTTTCTTGAGAAAAATGCCAAAAAGTCAAGATGGCGGAGGCAACCGTGGGTCCGAATTTGCACCAATAAAAAGGCGGGCACCCGTGTGGCTGCCATCTTGACTTTTTTGACCTCTGGGCCCTACTGAAAACTGCAATGGATAATAATGGACAATTGCATCCATTTTCTCCCCCCTTTGGGTCCTTAATCCCTCACAGGACCAGATCAGGTTTTTTGCAGAAGTTGGTTTGAAAAAGCCTGCTGGATGGACGGCTGTGTGTGTTTCTTATCCTTTTTCTCGAAAAAAAAGATGAATTTGCCAGCTGGCTAGAAAAATTGTTTTTGCTGTTCTTGGTCCTCGAACTGCTGTTTGACTCAGCGTCTGAAATTTCGGAGAGGGCGAAATCTCCCTTGCCAGTTTGAAAAAAAAAAAATTAAGGAACCTTTTAAATGCCTCTTTCCAAGCTGTTTTTGACGGCAGATTAGTCTTACTAGCCAGACAATTCTAAGTTAACTAATTGGAGATGATTTAATTCTACATTAATCACGACTGGGCTATGGTTAGGAAGCAGCACCGCTTCCCCATGATCCAATTTAGAATAAAACTGTGTGCTTCAATAGATTCTTCTCCAGAAGCGGTGAATGCTCCAACACTGGAAGTTTTTAAAGAAGAGACTGGACAGCCATTTGTTTGAAATGGTG